TCCCTAGCCCGTGTGGCAGTAGCGGGTGTGTGTGGGGCGGGGGGGCTCCATGTCTCACCAGAGCTGGCCTGCGCCCCCAATACAGCAGGTTTTGTGACCCGGAAACATTTGTGGATTTGACACTTTCCCCAATGGTTTGGCTGAAGGGTGTGATGGGGGTTGATTCGCAAGGGGTTGGCTGCCATGCCCACTACAGCCCGAGGGCAGGAGGCGGTGGTGCCTTATCCCAGCCGTGAGCCCGGGGGCAGGGCAGTGTTCCGCTAGGATTACCCGCCCATCAGTGGGGCTAGCTTAGTTTTGTGCCCAGTATTGAGTCCGTGGGTGCTTGTTCGGGTGCGCGCCACAAGTTATTAATAAGCCCTCTGCTTACATGTCTCCCACTCTTCCCTTACCCCATCTGCTCCCCTGGTGCCTGCTGCCCTCCCCCACCCCCCTTGCTGTCCTGACTTCTGCCCTTCTCCCCTCAGCCATTTGGGGCCCAGCACCAGCCCGTCTCTTTCCCCTGTGTCCACTCCTCTAGCCCCACTCTGATCATCTGTAGCTACCCCTCCCCATCCCCTCTCCTAACACCTCCCTCTGCCCACCTGCCCTGCCTCTCTCCTCCGGGGCAGTTTGCGGGGGCTGGAGCCTGGGGCCGGGACTGCAGTACTAAAAATAGCACCACGGCCCCAAAGCCCCCGCAGCCCTGGCCCCAGCTGCTCCCGGGGTGGGACCGCGTGCCAGGACCAGAGCAGAGGCCGCCCACAGTGCTGTTGATGCTACTGTGGCCCCGAGCTGCCCCGGCTCCAGCTGGAGTGAAGCGGCAGCCACACGAGGCCCATTCCCGGTGGGGCAGCCTCCCTGTAACAACCTCACCTCACACCCCCGGCTCCAGGCGGAGCAAAAGGGCAGCCACCCGCCGCCAGGAACCCGTCAGGCCACTGGCTGCCGCTGCACCCGCCGTCTGTTCCCGTGGGAAGGGGAGCGGTGAGTGGTGGCGGCTCTTGAAGGCCGTGAGCGGACCTAAAATTGTCAGTGCGCAGGCGCGCAGCTTAGAGGGACACCGGAGTAGGGCCCTGCCCCCGGTTAGAACACTCCTCGCAAAAGGGATTGGGGTGCAGACACGCCCACCAGGCTGTACTGGACATTCCCGGGGGGGGGGGAGGTGCGCATATAAAACATAAGAACGGCCGGACTGGATCAGACCAAAGGTCCATCTAGCCCAGTAGCCTGTCTGCCGACAGTGGCCAGCACCAGGTGCCCCAGAGAGGGTGGACCGAAGACAATGATCAAGCGATTTGTCTCCTGCCATCCCTCTCCAGCCTCTGACAAACAGAGGCCAAGGACACCATTCCTACCCCCTGGCTAATAGCCTTTTATGGACCTAACCTCCATGAATTTATCCAGCTTCTCTTTAAACTCTATTATAGTCCTAGCCTTCACAGCCTCCTCTGGCAAGGAGTTCCACAGGTTGACAACACGCTGTGTGAAGAAGAACTTTCTTTTATTAGTTTTAAACCTGCTCCCCATTAATTTCGTTTGGTGACCTCTAGTTCTTCTATTTAGGGAACTAATAAATAACTTTTCTTTATCAGCCCTCTCCACACCACTCATGATTTTATAGACCTCTATCATATCCCCCCTCAGTCTCCTCTTTTCTAAACTGAAAAGTCCCAGTCGCTTTAACCTCTCCTCATATGGGACCTGTTCCAAACCGCTAATCATTTTAGTTGCCCTTTTCTGAACCCTTTCCAAGGCCAAAATACCTTTTTTGAGGCGAGGAGACCACATCTGCACACAGTATTCAAGATGTGGGCGTACCATAGTTTTATACAGGGGCAGTAAGATGTTCTGGGTCTTATTTTCTATCCCTTTCCTAATAATTCCTAGCATCCTATTTGCCTTTTTGACCGCCGCTGCACACTGTGTGGAAGTTTTCAGAGAACTGTCCACGATAACTCCAAGATCTCTTTCCTGATTTGTCGTAGCCAAATTAGCCCCCATCATACTGTACGTGTAGTTGGGGTTATTTTTCCTGATGTGCATTACTTTACACTTATCCACATTACATTTCATTTGCCATTTTGTTGCCCAATCACTCAGTTTGGTGAGATCTTCTTGGAGTCCCTCACAGTCTGCTTCTGTCTTGACTATCCTAAACAGTTTGGTATCATCCGCAAACTTTACTACCTCACTGCTTACCCCTTTCCCCAGATCATTTATGAATAAGTTGAACAGGACTGGTCCCAGGACTGACCCTTGGGGGACACCACTAGTTACCCCTCTCCAATCTGAACATTTACCATTTATTCCTACCCTTTGTTTCCTGTCTTTTAACCTAAAAACTGGACTAGTCGTTGGGCTAATGAGGGGCTGGTGCTTTGGACCTGGGTCTTCACGTCCCAGGTGAGTGCCCCGCCCGCTGAGACCCCACCCCTCCTCCTCTGGGAAGCAAGTCCGTTCCAAGACCCAAAAGAGGAGATGTCCAGCAAAGCCAGCAGCTGAGCTGACCCAGATTTTCTGACACGCACAACATTCCCCAAAGATTTGAATTTGGTTTGACCTGAATTTTTGCAATGGCCAGTAACGAGCAGACTCGGCTGTGCACCCTGCTGCCCTGCTCTCGGCCTGCCCTGGGATCCAAGACTTGCAAGCCTCTTGCGCTTCCTTTAAACTCTTGGACTTGTCCGTGCCCCAGCCCAGCTGCTGTTCTCGTAGCGCGTGCTGTGCTGCTGGGTTTGTTCTGGGATGAGGATGTGCTGCAGGAAGTGGCTGCCATAGATCAGATTGGGCCAGTGGTCCATCCCTCCAGGGTTCTGTCTGTCCAGCATATGTAACCCAACTTGCAGAGAAGTAACTGCTTCTTGAATTGACTTCGGCACCGGAGGCCTCGCCCAGGCGTGCCCTGGGATAATCCCCTACCTCCTAAACCCATCACTGCAGTAATCCTCAATTAGACCGCGATTAGTTTTCTTTTGACTGAACTCTTCTTGGAAACCGTTTGGTGTCGTACCCAAGAGGCCGCCCGCTATGTCGCCGTTCAAGATCAAGAACTCTTGGGTTGGGTCACGTGCCCAGTGAGGTGACGGGTCAGTCGCGACGCAGTCCGGAGTAAGGGATGTGAAATCCCATTTAGCCAGTTAGACCCTGAACCGGGATCCCATGGGGAGGCATTGGGGCTGCCTCAGTCAGGTGGGGCTGGAGTGCCCCCAGCCTGCGGCATGGTGAGCCTGGCTGGGTGGAGCAGCCTCCTGCCCGTCCGGTCCCGGATAAGCATCACCCGGGCAATGCTCACCACTTCGCCATCACATCCCTAGTCCTGAGCCGTCGTGGGGGGAGAGGCTGCTGGTTCCAGGTGGTGGAGGACTCTCCCAGGGCCTCCCCCGCCCCTGCAGGTCCTGTCCCTTGGCTCACTCCTGGGTGCTGTGGTGGTTTCTCCAGCCCCGCTGGGCCCCCTTCTCCGGCTTGCACGGACGGGTGCTAGTGCCCTCCACCCCCAGGTCTGCTGGCCCCGGTTAGTGAGAGGCTCAGTGCCTGAGACCTTGCCAGGGTGGTGAGCTGGGGCTTGGAGGGAGTGGGGGGCAGGAAGCGTCACCCAGAGCTGGGTCTCGGGTGTGGCCAATGGAGGCGGCTGCTCGGGCCCCGCGCTTGGGGGGTGCCTCGTGGGCCATGCAGTTTGGAAGTGGTGGGCTGGTCCCTGAAGTGGCGCATTGGTCAGTCCTGCCCTGGGCCCTGCGCCCCGCGGGGCTGCTGTGGAAGGGGCTGGGCCGTTTGCCTTGGCTCTGACGCGGGTGAGAGACCAGCACTCACGTCCTGCCTTGAGCGAGGTCGCGTTGCTGGTTCGTCCCGTCTGCGGCGAGCGAGTGTCAGACGTGCCAGCGCGGCTTCGGGGCCTGGTAACCATGGCGGTGGCCAGGAAGGGGGAGAGCTGGTTTCCGTGGGTTTGACTCTGCGGTGCTTTACCTGTAGCAGTGGACCCGGCAGCGCTGCCCTTCTCTGGAGCGCAAGAGTGCAGGGGCTGCTGTGTCGACAGCTCTGGACTTCCCTCTCTGGGAGGGGGGCTTTCTTGCTGTTCAGTGGCGGGGGGGGTGGCTTTCAAGCCATGAATAGTCCCCCAGCGTGGTCCGTCTCGGCACCTGGCGAAGTCTGCTCCTTCGGGGGTGCTTGTGCTGCAGACGCTCAACGTCGTTCTGGAACCGACCGTCACTCTGGAGCCACGTTCTCAGAATTTCCCTCCGGCTGTGACACCCCCTCGCCCCCCAGCTAAACCATGTGACCTTGGAAGCTTCAGGGGTAGCGAGTTAGTCTGTACAGGATCAACTCAAAAATCAACCGGTGGGCTGGTAGCACTTTCTAGACCAGCCAAACCTGTGGCTGGCACAGCCCACTTCTGCAGGGGACGGAGTGTTGAGTTTAGGCTGTGCAGGCCTAGCAGGGCCGTGCTGTGGAGGGGGAGGCCGGGTCCTGGTGGGACATGGTACCAGCGAGGCTTCTGGTCTCCCCTGCTCACCGTTAACCCTTGGCTGCCGTGCTGGCTGTTCCTGCCGGTCACGGTCTGCTTTGGGCCCCTCTCCTGGGAGAGACAGACGGTCTTTTGGGGAAGCCTGTTGACAGCTGTCACCCGATCTGGGGGCGACTTGTCCTGGGAGCTGTGCTTGTTGGGAGGGATCGCGCTTTCTCTGAACAGTCTGTCTGGGGCCGTGTGGCAGGAGCAGCCTGACTCCT